TCATAAAGAAGGTAAGCAAGTCTGCAAAACAAAACAAAACAAAAAAACTTCATTAAAAAGCATAAAACAGGCCGGGCGCGGTGGCTCAAGCCTGTAATCCCAGCACTTTGGGAGGCCGAGGCGGGTGGATCACAAGGTCGAGAGATCGAGACCATCCTGGTCAACATGGTGAAACCCCGTCTCTACTAAAAATAGAAAAAATTAGCTGGGCATGGTGGCACGTGCCTGTAATCCCAGCTACTCAGGAGGCTGAGGCAGGAGAATTGCCTGAACCCAGGAGGCGGAGGTTGCGGTGAGCCGAGATCGCGCCATTGCACTCCAGCCTGGGTAACAAGAGCAAAACTCCGTCTCAAAAAAAAAAAAAAAAAAAAAAAAAAAGCATAAAACATGAACAGATGCTTTTCAAAGATAAAGACAAACAGGTGGCTAACAAGTGTGCAAAACATGCTTACCACTAATTCCTAGAGAAATGAAAAAGAAAAAAACAAAAACCATAGTGAGATAGCATCTCACACCAGTCAGCATGGCTGTTGTTAGAAAGTCAGTAACAGGCCGGCACAGTAATCCCAGCACTTAGGGAGGCCAAGGCAGGCAGATCACTGGAGGTCATGAGTTTGAGAGCAGCCTGGCCAAAATGGAGAAACCCCATCTTTACTAAAAATACAAAAATTGGCTGGGCGCAGTGGCTCACGCCTGCAATCCCACCACTTTGGGAGGCCGAAATGGGTGGATCACAAGATCAGGAGTTTGAAACCAGCCTGGACAATATGGTGAAACCCCATGTCTACTAAAAATACAAAAATTAACTGGGCATGGTGGCCAGCGCCTGTAGTCCCAGCTACTCAGAAGGCTGAGGCAGGAGAATCACTTGAACCCAGGTGGTGGTGAAGGCTGCAGTGAGCCAAGATTGTGCCACTGCACTTGTCTGGGTGACAGAGCAAGACTCCATCTCAAAAAAAAAAAAAAAAAATTAGGCTTGGTGGGGCAGATCCGTAGTTTTAGATACTCAGGAAACTAAGGTATGAGAATCTGTTGAACCCAGGAAATGGAGGTTACAATAAGCTGAGATCACACCACTGCACTCCATCCCAGGTGACAGAGTGAGACTCTGTCTCAAATGCAAACATCAATAACAGATGCTGGCAAGGTTGCAGAGAAAATGGAATGTTTATACACTGATGATGGAAGCGTAAATTGGTTCAACCGCTGTGAAAAGTAGTGCGGCAATTCCTCACAGAACTGAAAACAGAATTACTATTTGTCCCAGCAACCTTCAAATTGGGTATATACCCAAAGAAATATAAATTATTCTACCATAAAGACACATGCACATACATGTTTACTACAGCACTGCTTGCAATAACAAAGACATGGACCCGGCGCAGTGGTTCATGCCTGTAATCCCAGCACTTTGGGAGGTCGAGGCAAGCAGATCACCTGATGTCTGGAGTTTGAGACCAACCTGGATCACCATGGCTGATCTCAAAAGAAAAAAAAAAAAAACCATCTCTATGAAAAATACAAGTAGTCCCAGCTACTTGGGAGGCTGAGGTGAGAGAATCACTTGAAACCAGGAGGTGGAGGTTTCAGTGAGCTGAGACCATGCTATTGCACTCCAGCCTGGGTGACAGATGAGACTCCATCTCAAAACAGAACAAAACCAACCTTGGGATTCCCATGACCTTCCTCCAGTTTAGTAATTTGATCAAGCTGCTCACAGAACTCAGCGAAACAATGTAGTTATATTTACTGTTTTTTTGTTTTTGTTTTTGTTTTTTTCTTCTAAAAGACGGGGTTTCCCCATGTTTGTCAGGCTGGTCTTGAACTCCCGACCTCAGGTGATCCACCCGCCTTGGCCTCCAAAGTGCTTGGATTACAGGCGTGAGCCACCACGCCCGGCCTTACTGGTTTGTTATTAAAAAAATATATATATGGCCAGGCGAGGTGGTTCAAGCCTGTAATCCCAGCACTTTGGGAGGCCGCGGCGGGTGGATCATGAGCTCAAGAGATCGAGACCATCCTGGTCAACATGGTGAAACCCTGTCTCTACTAAAAATACAAAAAAATAGCTAGGCATGGTGGCACGTGCCTGTAACCCCAGCTACTCAGGAGGCTGAGGCAGGAGAATTGCCTGAACCCAGGAGGCGGAGGTTGCGGTGAGCCGAGATCGCGCCATTGCACCCCAGCCTCTAACAAGAGCGAAACTCCATCTCAAAAAACAAACAGATGTGTCTGACTCCTGTTTCAAGTCAGGCCATCCAATAACTTGAGAGATTCTTCTACCCACTCCTGATCACATTGGTGCTCAGGAACCACACATTCAGGAGACACTGTACTATTTCTCAGTGACTGCTCCAGGCGCATTTTACTTTGCAAGCTCTTACACCATCTCACTAGAGTCAGTTTTTTTGTTTTTGTTTTTGTCTTTTGGGACACTATATTTTCTGCTACAAATTTTTGATTTTTCCCACCATTTTTCTTTGACTATTTTTATTTCATTATCTTTCTGCACCCTTAGAGAATCCGAAGGGCAGAAATTATTTATGTTTTCCTCTCATTACCAGCATCTGATTGGCTGATCAGCAACATGTCTTCAAAAACTGGAAGCTGGGTTGGGTGTAGACAATCTGAATGTCTTAAGGGGTTATCTTTGTTAAAAAAGAACACTAAAAGATTCTTGTCAGACCCAGGGCGTCCATTTGCTCCCTTGAGAGGATACACTTCAAACCTCAGGCTGTCCTATGGAGGAAAATCAACCAGAAGCTAATATTCTCTAGGCATTTTAGCTGACATAACCATGGCAGATAACGTGGTTTATCCCTAGACAGTACTGAAACCAAGGATTAGAAAAAAACTAAAGGGTGGCTACAGATATATCACCCCATAAAGTTTCCAAAGGGGTGGGGCACGGCGGCTCACACATGTAACCTCAGCACTTTGGGAGGCTGAGGTGCGAAGATCACGAGGTCAGGAGAACCAGACCATTTTGGCCAACATAGTGAAACCCCATCTCTACTAAACATACAAAAATTAGCTGGGCATGGTGGCGCATACCTGTAATCCCAGCTACTTGCCAGGCTGAGACAGGAGAATCGCTTGAAGTAGGGATTTGGAGGTTACAGTGAGCCTAGATCATGCCACTGCACTCCAGCCTGCTGACAGAGTGAGGCTTTGTCTCAAAAAAAAAAAAAAAAAAAAAAAAAAAAAAAAAAAAATTCCAAAGGAAAACCTGGTGACAAGATCTCTGTGCCTAGACAAGACACAAAGAGAAGAGACACAGAGTTTTTACAATACCGTGTCAGGGGATTATCTCATGGGAAATAGTTACAGACAGAAACTCCGCTCCCCCACCGCCCCGCGACGGAGTCTCTCTGTCGCCCAGGCTGGGGTGCAGTGCTGTGATCTCGGCTCACTACAACCTCTGCCTTCCAGGTTTGAGATTCTCCTGCCTCAGCCTCCGGAGTAGCGGGGACTACATGCGCAAGCCACCAGATCTGACTAATTTTTTGTATTTTTAGTAGAAATGGGAGTTCACCGAGTTAGCAAGGATGGTCTTGATCTTCTGACCTGGTGATCCGTCCGCCTCGGCCTCCCAAAGTGCTGGGATTACAGGCACGAGCCACTGCGTCCGGCAGCAAAAATTTTTTAAAACCATCATTTCATGCTTTCTCAAGAAATAATTAAAACGCAGTATAAGCCGGGCGCGGTGGCTCAAGCCTGTAATCCCAGCACTTTGGGAGGCCGAGGTGGGTGGATCACGAGGTCAAGAGATCGAGACCATCCTGGTCAACATGGTGAAACCCCGTCTCTACTAAAAATACAAAACATTAGCTGGGCATGGTGGCGCGTGCCTGTAATCCCAGCTACTCAGGAGGCTGAGGCAGGAGAATTGCCTGAACCCAGGAGGCGGAGGTTGCGGTGAGCCGAGATCACGCCATTGCACTTCAGCCTGGGTAACAAGAGCAAAACTCCATCTCAAAAACAAACAAACAAAAAAAAACAAAAAACAAAAACAAAAAAAGAACCAAAAAAAAACAAAAAAAAAACCGCAGTATATAAAAGTAAACTAAAAGACAAGTGGGTGATAAAGTGAATTAGGGAGGGAAAAGCTGGCGTTTGGGAATGCCAGAAGAACTGGAAACTTAGGATGTTACCTCGAGCCAGAATGAGACTGGAGAAACGGGAAATGGGGGTAAGACTTAACACACTGCTTGGGACACAGGTGAAAATGCAGTCGAAAATCAGTTCCCTGTGGAGTGTGAAAACAAGCGGCAGGCAAGTCGACTGAGGTGTTCTAGTCCCTGGATTCGTACTTTTAAAAAAACTAACTGAAGGGCATTTTTTAGTAAATGACTACATTAAGAGAAACAAAATTCAGCCTTAACCAACCACGAACTGCCAATTAACCATGAAACCTTCCCCTTCATCACACAAATGAAGAAACGACATAGCTGTATCTAACCCATTACTGAATTTGGTTTTCTTCACCATGCAGTTCGTAACAGTCTTCCCTTCCATCCCCGCCCACGAACCACAAATTACAAACCACAGCTGGGTGCTTGGCAATTTTTGAATCGCTCTGATTATTTTTAGGGTGACTCCCATACATTTTTAACAGAAGAAAAGAGGAGCTCGGAACCCCACGGACCAAAGCTCTTCAGACTCGGAACCCGCACCCGGAGTCAGGATTCTCCCCCTGACGACCCTCTCGTGGTACCTGCACAAACCGGGAGGGACGCGACGCTGCGGCTGCAGAGCCGCCCAGGGAGGGCTCCAAGCCAGGGCAGTCACCGCACAGGGAAGAGACAGGACGTCCGGGGCCGGCGGTCAGCGCAGCCGCCATCTTACGGCTGACGGGGACCGAGGCCGAGCCGGGCAAGCACTCCGGGAGCAGACTGCGGAGCTGACTGCAGGGAGGCCCGAGTCCCCCCACGGCCACTTCCCACCGGTTCCAACCAGCCCCTTTCCCTCTCTCTGGAGTTTCGACCCGGCACTCTCACCATTTCCAAGCTTCCAGGGGGTCCCAGCTCCCAGTATCTGCAGGTCACAGGGCCACAGAGGCCACACCTCTAGGGTAAGAGGGCACAGAGGCGTGAACCCGGGGCCCGGAGCTCCAGCAGGGAGAGATAAAGACCGCGCCACATCCCGGAAGCCTTGCTGCCCGCTCCAACTGCGTGCCTGATTGGTCAGTTCCCAGCTCAACGTCGCTGATTGGATAACGTTTAAAACCCCACCCTCTCAGGCCGTGAGTGACAGAAGATTCAATCAGCTGCTGGGATGAGTGAAGAAAAAGTGACAGCCTAGGCTGCAGCCTTTTCAGGCAGGGCTTCCTTCCAAAGCTGAGCCTGGCCTACCAAAGAGGATATTAGCCTTTAAACTTGTGTGTAGGCCGGGTGCGATGGCTCAAGCCTGTAATCCCAGCACTTTGGGAGGCCGAGGCGGGTGGATCACGAGGTCAAGAGATCGAGACCATCCTGGTCAACATGGTGAAACCCCGTCTCTACTAAAAATACAAAAAATTAGCTGGGCATGATGGCGCGTGCCTGTAATCCCAGCTACTCAGGAGGCCGAGGCAGGAGAATTGCCTGAACCCAGGAGGCGGAGGTTGCGGTGAGCCGAGATCGCGCCATTGCACCCCAGCCTGGGCAACAAGAGCGAAACTCTGTCTCAAAAAAACAAAACAAAACCTTGTGTGTAAAGTTATATACATTTATAAATAATACTTTATATGGCTATTTACAAATGAATATAATAACGATTATTTTTAAGATTTCAGATTTTATGACCTTCCCAGCTTCTGATTTTTGAGCAGGAAGGCTGAGATTTTAGAAGCGAGGCAATCCTCTGAAATAAAATGTGAGGGGTGCGGTGGCTCACGCCTATAATCCTAGCACTTTGGGAGGCCGAGGCGGGTGGAACACCAGGTCAAAAGATCGAGACCATCCTGGTCAACATGGTGAAACTCCTGTCTGTTAAAAAAAAAAAAAAAAAAAAAAAAAAAAAAAAAAAAAAAGGCCTTATTAAAATAAAATAAATCAAAAAACAAATAAATAAATAAATAAAATGTGAGCCACATGTGAATTTTAAACTTTCTAATATCCAAAGTTCAAAAAGGAGCAAAGAACAGGTTGAATTGATTGTGACAATTTAGTTCACCCAATATGTCCATGATATTATCATTCTAATGTGTGAGAAATGTGTAATTATTAATAAAGTATATAAATATTTGGAACTAAGCCGGGTGCGGTGGCTCAAGCCTGTAATCCCAGCACTTTGGGAGGCCGAGGCGGGTGGATCACAAGGTCAAGTGATCGAGACCATCCTGGTCAACATGGTGAAACCCCGTCTCTACTAAAAATACAAAAAAAATTAGCTGGGCATGGTGGCAGGTGCCTGTAATCCCAGCTACTCAGGAGGCTGAGGCAGGAGAATTGCCTGAACCCAGGAGGCGGAGGTTGCGGTGAGCCGAGATCGCGCCATTGCACTCCAGCCTGGGTAACAAGAGCGAAACTCCGTCTCAAAAAAAAATAAAAAATAATAAATAAATAAATAAATAAATATTTGGAACTAAATCTTTGACACTAACTCTACATTTTACTTTTCTAGCACATGGCAGTTCAGACCAGGCCCATTCCAGGCACCCAGGAGCCACACATGGCCAATGGCTGCCACATTGAAGTACAGCTCTGATGTCAGGGGGCAACGGGCCCCAGCAAACTTTTTCTGCCAGAGGTGAAGGAAGAGCCTCTCCCTACCAACATATCTCTTCAGTTCTGAGGGTGGAACACATAGTGACCATAGAAAGGGCAGAGGGCAGCAAGAATAAAATAACCGCAAGGAGACCACTGCTGGCCACCTGTTGCTCACCTTTCTTCCATAGATCAGACAAAAAAGGATGATGGTGCCACAGGAGAATAAAACTGTGTCTTCAGTTCTGTCCACACTTTTCACCTCCAGTGTTTAGATACGGAGAAAGTAGATGAAAGGCAAACTTATTTTGCTATTTGCCCTTGGCCCTAATGGTCAGGCTGTGGTTATCCATTGTCGCCTGTGGTGTGGGGGACTGTGTGAGTATAAGCAACAATCATATGCATACATGGCTACCTGTATTTCTGCATTACTCAGCATTCTCTTACAAGACATCCAACTTTAATTCAGGGAAAAAAATCAGTACCTACAGGGTGCCACTGTTAGAAGGTAACTAGTAATCAGCCAGGCGCAGTGGCTCAAGCCTGTAATCCCAGCACTTTGGGAGGCCAAGGCGGGTGGATCACGAGGTCAACAGATCGAGACCATCCTGGTCAACATGGTGAAACCCCGTCTCTACTAAAAATACAAAATATTAGCTAGGCATGGTGACGCGTGCCTGTAATCCCAGCTACTCAGGAGGCTGAGGCAGGAGAATTGCCTGAACCCAGGAGGCGGAGGTTGCGGTGAGCCAAGATCGTGCCATTGCACTCCAGCCTGGGTAACAAGAGCAAAACTCTGTCTCAAAAAAAAAAAAAGGGGGGGGGGCCGAGCGCGGTGGCTCAAGCCTGTAATCCCAGCACTTTGGGAGGTGGAGGTGGGTGGATCACGAGGTCAAGAGATCGAGACCATCCTGGTTAACATGGTGAAACCCTGTCTCTACTAAAAATACAAAACGTTAGCTGGGCATGGTGGCGCGTGCCTGTAATCCCAGCTACTCAGGAGGCTGAGGCAGGAGAATTGCCTGAACCCAGGAGGCGGAGGTTGCGGTGAGCCGAGATCGCGCCATTGCACTCCAGCCTGGGTAACAAGAGTGAAACTCCGCGTCAAAAAAAAAAAAAAAAGCCGGGCGCGGTGGCTCAAGCCTGTAATCTCAGCACTTTGGGAGGCCGAGACGGGTGGACCACGAGGTCAAGAGATCGAGACCATCCTGGTCAATATGGTGAAACCCCGTCTCTACTAAAAATACGAAAAAAGTAGCTGGGCATGGTGGCACATGCCTGTAATCTGAGCTACTCAGGAGGTTGAGGCAGGAGAATTGCCTGAACCCAGGAGGCAGAGGTTGCGGTGAGCCGAGATCACGCCATTGCACTCCAGCCTGGGTAACAAGAGCGAAACTCCGTCTCAAGAAAAAAAAAAAAAGAAAATAATCATCTCAAGAAACTGCAGAAGCACAAGCTGGCTCACTTCTGTATTTATAGCACTTTGGTAGGCTGAGATTCGAGATTTAGGTGACATCAGGCGTTCCAGTGCAGCCTGGGCAACATAGTAAGATTATGTTTTCTTGAAAAATAATATCAGCCGGGCGCGGTGGCTCAAGCCTGTAATCCCAGCACTTTGGGAGGCCGAGGCGGGTGGATCACGAGGTCGAGAGTTCGAGACCATCCTGGTCGACATGGTGAAACCCTGTCTCTACTAAAAATACAAAAAATCAGCTGGGCATGGTGGCATGTGCCTGTAATCCCAGCTACTCAGGAGGCTGAGGCAGGAGAATTGCCTGAACCCAGGAGGCGGAGGTTGCGGTGAGCCGAGATCGCACCATTGCACTCCAGCCTGGGTAACAAGAGTGAAACTCCGTCTCAAAAAAAAAAAAAAAAAAAAAAAAAAAGAAAAGAAAAGAAAAATAAAATCAAAGGCTGGGCACGGTGGCTTACGCATGTAATCCCAGAACTTTGGGAGGCTGAGGTGGGCAGATGACAAGGTCAAGAGATCAAGATCATCCTGGCCAACATAATGAAACCCCATCTCTATAAAAATAAATAAATAAATAAAATTAAAATAAATAGCCAGCCATGGCGGTGCATGCCTGTAGTCCAAGTTACTTAGGTGGCAGAGGCAGAAGGATTGCTTGAACATGGAAGGTCAAGGCTGCAGTAAGCTATAATTGGTTGCAATCAAGACTGGGTGATAGAGTGAGGCTCTGTCTCCAAAAAAAGAAAAAAAAAAAAAAAGAAATTAGAGAAGCATTTTAAAAGAAATAGAATTTAACAAAATAGCTGAGGAGCCAGGAGCAGTGGCTCAAGCCTGTAATCCCAGCACTTTGGGAGGCTGAGGCGGGTGGATCACGAAGTCAAGAGATTGAGACCATCCTGGTCAACATGGTAAAACCCCATCTCTACTAAAAAATGCAAAAAATTAGCTGGGCATGGTGGCGCGTGCCTGTAATCCCAGCTACTCAGGAGGCTGAGGCAGGAGAATTGCCTGAACCCAGGAGGTGGAGGTTGCAGTGAGCCGAGATCACGCCATTGCATTCCAGCCTGGGTAACAAGAGCGAAACTCCATCTCAAAAAAAAAAAAAAAAGAAAAGAAAAGAAAAGAAAATAGCTGAGGAAAAAATATATATAAAAAAAGTCCAGGCGCGGTGGCTTAGGCCTGTAATCCAAGCACTTTGGAGGCCAAGGCAGGCGGATCACCTGAGATTGGGAGTTCAAGACCAGCCTGACCAATGGTGAAACCCCATCTTGGAAAAAAAAAAAAATGTAAAAAAAAAGAAAAGAAAATAGCTGAGGGATGAGGTTAGGAAATCGAGGCCCAACAACATATTATTTATTTTTCATCATAAAAAAATAAAAACTTTTCGCCGGGCGCAGTGTCTCAAGCCTGTAATCCCAGCACTTTCGGAGGCCGAGGCAGGTGGATCACAAGGTCAAGAGATCGAGACCATCCAGGTCAACATGGTGAAACCCCGTCTCTACTAAAAATACAAAAAAATCAGCTGGGCATGGTGGCATGTGCCTGTAATCCCAGCTACTCAGGAGGCTGAGGCAGGAGAATTGCCTAAACCCAGAAGGCAGAGGTTGCGGTGAGCTGAGATCGCGCCATTTGCACTCTAGCCTGAGTAGCAAGAGTGAAACTCCGTCTCAAAAAATAAAATTAAAAAAAAAAATAAATACATACATAAAAACTTTTAAAAGAAAAAGTCTATTTTTCTTTTCTTTTTTTTTTTTTTTTTTTGAGACCGAGTTTCACTCTTGTTACCCAGGCTGGAGTGCAATGGCGCGATCTCGGCTCACTGCAACCTCTGCCTCCTTGGTTCAGGGGTTCAGGCAATTCTCCTGCCTCAGCCTCCTGAGTAGCTGGGATTACAGGCACGTGCCACCATGCCCAGCTAATTTTTTTGTATTTTTAGTAGAGACAGGGTTTCACCATGTTGACCAGGATGGTCTCGATCTCTTGACCTTGTGATCCACC